CCCCACTGCCGGATGTACCGCAGGAATGACACCTGGTGTGGAGGAGGGGTGACGCAGCGAGGGAAGTGAGGCAAAGAGGTAGAGATACGGAGGGAGGGATGTTGTGAGGGCCAAGGAGGGTTGCAGGATGCATGGGTGGGTGGACGAGGGTAAGAGAGCAGGAGAGCAAAGAGGGCAAGAGGGCAGACCTCTGATTCGGTGAGGGGCGGTCAGCGGAGAGCACAAAGAGCACGAGGTCAGCCTGGGGCACGAACTCCTCTGTGAGGCGCTGCTGCCGCTCCAAGATGACGTTGGTGCCGGGCGTGTCCACCACGTTCATCTGCTCGCATTGCCGTGCCCATGGAAAGGAAAGATGGACGGACGGGAGGGGGTTGAAGAGACGACACATGAGAGGCTATGAAGAGCAATGAGGGAAGCAAGAGTGGATGTTTGAGATTCAGCCAGCAGCCATGAATGGCAGGCTGTGCAGTTGCCAGCAGCGACGGTTCAGTGCACACCTGTTTGAGGAGGTCAGCAGGCAGGAAGCGGATCATGTGGCCGTCGGGGTGGCGCTGCTCCTCCACCGCCATGCGCCCCGCCACCGCCCTCGCTGCTGCCCTCCCCGCCACCGCCCCCCTCTGCGACCCCGCTGCTGCCCGCCGACAGCGCTGCACTGGAGGCGGCCTGGGCGGCACGTGCGCGCAGCTGGAGGCGGGCGAGGAGTCGAGGTGGCGCAGCAGCGTGATCTCGTTGGTGGTGGGCACCACGCCCACCTTGAGAACGCGTCCCCCAGCAGCGCGTTCACCAGTGATGACTTGCCGAGTTGAACTCGCCCTGCCCGCTTGCACAGGGTGCGTGTGTGGCGAGGGGGAGAGGGAGAAGGGGTGGCAGAGCGAGGACTGTGAGCGGCGAGGGCAGGAGTTGTTGTGAGTGAAGCGAGACGAGGGGCTGGGTGAGACAGCAATGCGCGGAGAAAGTGGACTTGCATGCAATGCACTGGCTCTAGAGGTTCAGCATGGCCAGTGTTGGTGAGAACACGCGTGTGATGATGAAGGGAACTGAATGGATGATGATCTCATGGGTGAGCACCGAGTGCATGGCGGCACGGAGGAGCACTGACCACGACAACGACGAGGAATGGTTCCCCCAGGCGCGCGAGTGAGTCCTCCAACAGCTGTATCTCCGCCATCTGATGGCGTGCCACGCCACGCCATGCCATGCCACGCCATGCCATGCCACGCCATGCCATGCCATGCCATGCCATGCCACGCCATGCCACGCCATGCCATGCCATGCCATGCCATGCCGTGCCATGCCGTGCCATGCCATGCCATGCCATGCCATGCCATGCCATGCCGTGCCATGCACACACAGGAGACAGCATGGAGCCATTGTAGGCACGGAGTCATGTACGCATGGAGACACAGGGGCATGCAGGCACAGGGGCATGCAGGCACAGGGGCATGCAGGTGCATGCAGACATGTTGGGAAACCAAAAGGGCCAAGAAATAAACGTGGGATGGGGGGGTGACACATGTGCCATGGTGCTCACATCGGGGCAAGCAGCTCACATGTGCCATGGTGCTCACATCGGGGCAAGCAGCTCACATCGGGGCAAGCAACTCACATCGGGGCAAGCAGCTCACATGGGGGCAAGCAACTCACATCGGGGCAAGCAGTACGGAGCAGGGCGAGCAGCGAGGTGAGCAGCTTCCTCTCAGCCTTCATGATGCGCCGCCCCTCCACGTCCAGCAACCCCGCCCCTCCCTGCCCTCCCCTTCCTCCTCCACTTCCTCCTCCTTCACCTCCTCCCCCTCCCCTGCCCCCTGCACGCGCACATCCTCCCCCGCCACAGCGCTGGCAGCAGCGGGCCCCGGAGGCCCTCCCACGCCAGACAGCACCTGCTCCACCTCCTCCCTCCCCTCCTCCTCGTCCCCACGCCCGCTGCCCTCCTCCCCAGCTGTACCTCCCACTCCCATGCCCACTTCCTCCCCCTCCTCCTCATTCTCCCCCTCACTCTCCGTCTCACTCTCCCCCCCCGCGCCTTCCCCCATGCCCTTGGTGACCCACCGTGCATCCGCCATGGCGCCCACCACGCGCCCCACCGCTGCCCGCATCGCCCTGCTCTCCCCGCCACCTCCCACACCCCCTACTTCCCCTGCTCCTGCTCCTTCCGCTCCCTCGGCTGCTTCAGCTGGTTCTGCCGCTTCCGCCTGCAGCAGCGAGAAGAGTGAGACGGCCACGCCAGCAGCGCCGCTGCCCATGACGCCGCGCACCCACTGCACGCCCTCCCCCCCTGCCCACGCGCTCCCCTCCCCCCGCTGCACCAGCACAGGGATGCTCACCTGCCGCGCCCTCACCTGCGCCACCGCCGCCGCATCAGCGGAGGCTGCACTACTGGTAGCGCCCACTACTGGCACGGCAGCGGAGGGCGCGAGGAGAATGAGGTCGGCGCCGTCAGCGGTGGTGGCGTGACTGCGGCGGCCACGGACGCCACTCGGCGCGCCACGAGTGGCAGCAGCGGGCCCGACGCCGCACTCTCCATCATGCGCCGCGCCGCCACTGCTGGTAGGCCTGGGGGATGGGCGCACGCATGGGGCGAGGCGAGGGGCCAAGGGGCAGAGGGGCGCGAGCACGGAGAGAAGCGGGGAGGCAGAGGGTAGAGGAGGGGAGTGGCAGAGATAGGCGTGAGAGGACGGAGGGTGAAGGGACGGCGAGAGGTGTGGCGGGATGCCACATAGGCAGCGGGTTTCAGAAGAAGGGAGAGCGATGGGGGCGGATGAAGGGCTGTGCCCAAGAGAGGCGAGGGCTGTGATCGAGCATGGGTGCAGCATGTGTGAGGATGGGTGCAGCACGTGAGAATGGGTGCAGCATGTGAGGATGGGTGCAGCACGTGAGAATGGGTGCAGCATGTGAGAATGGGTGCGGCATGTGAGCATGGGTGCGGCATGTGAGCATGGGTGCGGCATGTGAGCATGGGTGAAGCATGTGAGGCATAAACCATGCGGTGTGTGTGTTGACCTCCCCAGCTCCCTACAATCACACTCCATGTATAAGGCCACGTAAAAGAAGCCGTTAAAATCCCCTCGCTACTGGGACGCGCCATGTGCCATGCCATGCCACCATGCGACCATGCCACGCTCATCTCCCCTCGCCCTCTCCATCCCTCACCCCTCCCCCCACGCTCATCGCACCCCCTCCGCGCGCCCGCATCGCACCGTTATCGGACAGCAGCACGCCATCCGCGCCGGCAGCGGCGGCGATATCCGCGCGTTCCGCCACGAGCAGCGGCACGCGCCCGCGCACCACCTCCTTCACGGCGCACGCCGCCTCGAACAGCTCCATGCCCGCGCCGCCCGCGCCCTCCTCCCCCACCACCACCATGGTCGCGCCCCCCGCCACCGCCGCATCCACCGCCTCCGCGCTGCCCTGCGCCCCTCCTCGCAGGACTTCCGCGCTGGTCAGCGTCAGAAGCAGCGCAGGCAGGCGCACCTCCGCGCGCTTTTGCCCCGCGCGGAACGAGCCTACCGCCACCGACCCCGCGGAGCCCTGCCCGCCCGACGTGGTCGCCGCGACGCGCACGGCCCCTCCAATGGTGCGGCGCGAGGGGGCGGATAGGCGCGTGGCGGGGACGAGCGGGAGGCGAGCGGAGAAGAAGGCGGCACGGGCGCAGGAGAGGCGCGCTAGGCGGGGAGGTGCAGCTGTGAAAATGGCAGGGCGCGAGCGAGTCTGTGTACTGGGACCAGCGAAGCGAGCATTCACGAACATTTGCGAATCTGTGTGTTGATGACTCGTGGCGCACACGACGCTCACTCGCGCATCGCGTAATAGTAGAGTGGGCGCCATTTTTCGTATTCCGATTAATGAGTGAAATCAGACGGAGAACGGAGAGAACGGGCCTAGCCAGTGATCATGGCTTGGCATAACTGACGGCAGTGACGAGTGGGTTGAGAAAGAGGCGGCGAGGTTGGATATCGCACGGATAAGGAGGGCGAGGTGGATTCGAAGGATTCTGCCAAATCCACTTCGGTATTGGGACGGTACGGTCAAGGGATCACAATGCTGGACTCGTTAGCATGAATACCTCGTGTCATTCAACATGTACAAGTTGAAGAAGCGGACCAAATAAATGAACAACTTAATCAGAACAAAGTTAAGATGCTTTAGAATATTTACAAGGTTGAAGAACATATTAATTGTATTTTCCAAGAATATAGAAACATATACAAATATATATATTATTTGTAACAAGATTTTCATGCTTTACAATGATAACACAGCACCACATACAATCTGGACAGCTAGAATAGTAAATTAACTAGGCCATGACTGAGGAGAGTGGAGAGGAAAGGATGGCAGTGATGAGATATGAGTACAAGATGGAAACCTAAACTAACGTACCCTCTAAGGAGTGCCTCACTACAGCCTAGCATAATTAAAGACATTTATAAATATACCGGTATGTTATGACACACCCCCATACGCGAAGTAGGGGACAAGTGGTTACAAGACCAGTCAAGAAAAGCAAACAAGTAAAGCTCGGGGTGGATCACGAAGTCACCACACAGTCCGAGCACAAGCAAATGGTCACAAGGCCAGTTTACATGAAGAGTTATAAGAAAGTACAAAAAGTACAGTGATCACACCCTAGCAAGAGTAAACAACCAGGTACAGATATAATGATCAAAGTACAAGTGTCATGCAGTAAGCAAGCGAGGCAGAGTAGGCACAGAGCAGTGCAGAAATGCTGATGATCACCAGACACAAGTGAACCCTGTGACAACCGCTGGGTCGCCTGGTCATCTGCCCAAGAAGCGTCTGAGTGTCCAGTGAGTACAACTGAACCCCGTCCTCCAAGCACGAGCCCCATGCCCGATGTACTGCACAAGAAACGCAGCGCCCTCCTAGCAGCCCGCCAGTGCTCTGGTCGGTGTCTCCCAGGCGCAACGTAGTGTGCAGGATGTTGAGAGGGCACGCGAGGTCAGGTCGAGTGCAGGTCATCAGGTACAGGAGGCAGCTCACAAGCTCTGGATACTGACCACTTGGCTAACAGACTAGTCCGAAGGTGGAGCTGATAACGAGTGGCTTGTAGGAAGAGGAGTAGACTGTGGCGAGGAGAACTGGAAGCCGAAGCGCTGAAGGACCTGGTGCACCATGTGTGACTAAGTCAGAGTGATGGTGCGCCATGCTCTGTCCCGGGTGATCTGCAAGCCAAGATAGCTGCACAGCTCACCAAGGTCAATGTAGGTATGTCTCTTCTGCAGCTCCGACTTCACAAGGGCCAGTGCCTCAGTGTTAGCAATAGCATAGACCAAGTCGTTGATGTACACGAGGATGTAGAACGGCGGCAGAGAAGTGTCGGTGCGTAGAAACAGCGACGGGTCAGCAGTCGAAGGAGCAAACCTAAGAGCCGCAAGTGTCATCCTTAGTATATCGTGCCACTCGCGAGGCGCCTGGCGGAGACCGTAGACTGGCCGCTGGAGGCTCCACTGGGTACCCTCAGGAAATGACTTAGTGAAGCTAGGTGGGCGGGGTAGCCAAATATCCTCGTATAGGCTGCCCTGCAATGAAGCTGTGCTGAATTCAAGCGAGTGGAGCTCGTAGTCACGCTGTGCTGCAACGTGCAGTAACACCCGAGGAACACGACGACCAGTGCGAACAGCGCGAACAGGCGAGGCAGGACGAGACGCAGGCTCACGACGCTCAGTAAGCGAGTCTGTCTGCTCAGTGTAAGGAGAAGGAGCAGGTAGTGGGGAGCCTGGCTGTAACGGGAGGCCAGTAGAAGACGGGAGGCTAAGAACCTAGCGAAGTATTGAGTCAGGCGGTGGCAGAGACGACGGTGACGGCGGAGCGAAGAACAGTCGCGGCGATGCAGCACCACCAGCACCAGTATCACAAGCACCAGCACCTCCAGTACGAGTACCAGCAGCTCCAGCGCCTCCAGCAGCTCCAGTGCAGTCCGTAGCACCACCAGCTTCGGTAGCTCCAGTACCTCCAGGACGAAAACCTCCGGGATTAGCAGTGCCAGTACCACCAACACCTCCAGCACCAGTACCACCACCAGCTCCGACAGCTCCAGTACCCTAGTACCAGCACCTCCAGAGCAGCTCCAGCTCCAGGGCCGTCAGCCCCAGGGCCTCCATCGCCAGCGCCTCTAGCTCCAGCGCCTCCAGCTCCAGAGTCTCCGGGACTAGTAGCTCCAGCACCCTCAGTACGAGCACCTGCGGGACTGGCAGTGCCAGCACAACCAGCACCTCCAGCACCAGTAGCACCACCAGCCCTGGCAGCTCCAGTACCTCCAGTACGAGCACCTCCAGGACCAGCAGCTCCAGCTCTTCCGGGCTCCAGCGTCTGCCGCACTGCCTCCTGCTCCAGCAGCGCCACTCCGAAGGCAGCAGCGCTGAGCGTACCACTCGCGCAGCTGCTGTGGTGAGAGAAGACCTCCAGTACCTCCAGTACGAGCACCTCCGGACCAGCAGTGCCAGCACCACCAGCACCACCAGTACTGGCAGCACCACCAGCTCCGGCAGCTCCAGTACCTCCAGTACGAGCACCTCCAGGAATAACAGCTCCAGCTCCTCCAGTACCTCCAGCTCCAGTACCTCCAGCACCTCCAGGACTAGCAGCTCCAAGGACTCCAGCTCCAGCAGCGCCACTCCGAAGGCGGCAGCGCTGAGCGTACCACTCGCGCAGCTGCTGTGGTGAGAGAGGCTCTCGTAGTGTAGAAGCAATACCCCTAGGCTCAGCACCCCGACTCAGCACCTCCAGGCTCCGCACCTCCAGGCTCAGCACCTCCAGGCTCCACACGCTCAGGCTCAGCACCCCCAGGCTCCGCACGCTCAGGCTCAGCACCCCCAGGCTCAGCACCCCCAGGCTCCGCACCCCCAGGCTCCACACGCACAGGTTCAGCACCCCCAGGCTCCGCACCCGCAGGCTCAGCACCCCCAGACGCAGCACCCCAAGCAGTACCACGCCTAGCAGCACTTGAGTCACGAGTCACCTCGACAGGCTCAACCAAGGGGAGTGGGTCTACCTGAGACACACCTGAAGGAGCAGGACCCTGAGGGGGGAGGGGGTCTACCGGAGGGGGACCTGGAGCGAGGAAGAGGGGAAGAGACGATAAAAGGGAACCGACTCGTCAAACATGACGTCCTGAGAGGGGAAGACACGGCGCGAGGTGGGGTGGTAAAACTGCCAGCCAGGCACGTCAGGGACAAAGCCAAGGAAGACACAGGGAATGGCGCGGGAGGAGAGCTTGTCCGCGGAGGTATCGCGGACAAAGGCACGAGCGCCCCAGACCCGGAACACCGACACATTGCCAACCTTCCCCGTCCAATGCATTGTAGGCGAGGTCTCTGGCAAGGAGACACGGGGCCAGAGGTTGAGCTGATGCGCAGCGTACCGGACCGCAAACGGCCACAGAAAATGGGGAGCAGCCGCATGGATCATGGAGGTACAAGCGACCTCCATGACTAAGCCAATGCGGCACTCAGCAACCCCATTCTGCTGCGGGGAGGCTTGAAGCGTGATTGACTGGAGGGTGCCCTCCCCATGACAAAAGTCCCGCAAGAGGTCGGAGGAAAACAAACCGCCTCTGTCAGAGTGCAGACGCAGGACAGGGAGGTCCGACTGGAACCGCTCGCGGAGCTGGAGACGAACAGCGCGGATCCAAGGGATCAGAACACCATGGACCTCCTCCTTGCTGCGCAAGGGGAAGACCATGGTGTAACGCGAGTAGTTGTCAACCGCCAGCAAAAAGTACCGCTCGCAGCCCTGTCCCTGGACGCGAGCTGGGCCCCACACGTCCATGTGGAGAGTCTGCAGGGGAGCAGTCGTCGGGGGAAACGAGGAGGATTGAGGAGCGGCGCGCTGCCGCCCCTCAACGCAAGGAAGGCAGGGCGGAGCAGGCGAGCGCGAGAGGGGGGGCAGAGACCTGGGATGGCCAGAGACAAGGAGGCGAGAGTGCATGCTACGGAGGCGTGGCAGGGAGGGGTGACCAAGACGGTGGTGCCAGAGGAGAGTCTGGTGTGAGAGGTGGCGACACGAGCAGGGGGCTGCTACGAGTCCTGACGCGGACACTTGACAAGACGCAGCTACATGGGGATGCTCAGTAGTCAGTGTGCACAGGTTCGACCCAGGCCGACGGGTGAACGTGGCCAGGTGACGGCCCGTCCGTGCACACGTGCAGATCGCCACATGCTGTCCTCCAGGGGTAAAGGTATCAACCCAAGCATCCTGAAGGACAGCATTACTCACTAAGCTCATAGAGAACGAGGGGAGGTGAAGACCTGTCAGTGAGCCAGACGGAACCGCCGGACACGGAAGAACAGTGGAGGAACGTGCAAGGACTAAGCCCCTGAGGGGTCAGCCAGAGAGACTGCAACAGGTGCAGGGAGTGGTGTGACTGTAGTGCTGTCGCGAAAGAAGCAGCGGGAAGCACCTGAGTCAAGCATGAAGGTGTGCAAGGCCTCAGCAGGAGCAGTACCAGAGAGAGCAGACTCACTAGCACCTAGAGCAGCAGCCTCTAATCGAGGGTCAGGGGGCACACACAGGTAACAGTCACCCTCAGTACTACCAGTCAGAGCATACATGGCAGTAAGGATAGTGTCATAGTCTAAAGCAAAGATATCCACCTTGTTGCACAACAGCTCTAGCCAGGGGGGAAGCTCAGCCTCGTTGCCAAACACTGCACGCCAGGCGTCGCTCAGATAGGCGAAGCAGCGAGCTGTGTGTGACCAACTGTCCCGCAAGTCTGACCAGCCCGATCACCTGTGCAAATGACGTACGGGCAGCGAGCAGAACTCCTAGACCCCTCGCTCTG